AGCTACTCCCATGTGTTGTAAGACTCTTAAGATTTTGGTTGCAGATGCTCCAGCAACAATAATTGCAAAAGACAGCAGGAAATTTCCAGCTCGTAATCTTGTTCCAGGAATAAGGGGTTGACTGGTCCACGTGAAATTCTTATTGTTACACTTAGGGTTGGTACAGATGCATTTAACTTTGGCCATAGTACCATTTTGGTGAACCTCAACATCAGGATTTTCTGCTTTGCAATTGGGACAAAATTTAAAAAGAGCCAATAATTTTGTAAAAAACACAATGAACTTTGGCTCTGATCTTAAATTGTTGTCTGTTGCAAACACCCTATAATAAAACAATTCGGTAAGCTCAACACGAACTGATCAATTACTGACTGATCAGTGATGTAGTGTCACACAGGAGTGGAAAGGGGCAGGTCCCATCCTGGCAAAATTACCCACCTGGGAAATTACTGGGACATTACATAAAAGATCCACACTCTCCCCACAGAGGAAATTTCTGCTGTCCGGGGGGGGGGATAGTAATGTGTATTAGGATATCCAAGGGTTAACTTCCAATTTCATCTGTCTGGGAGGTATGGATGCTTTTTTGAATGGTTCATTAGAAATTTTGGTGGGATGAAGCTAACTTCCAAACAACTATTACCTCTTGTAATGTTCCTCACTGTCAGAATTGATATCAAATTCAGTACTTGATTGTGACTGTGAATCATCCTCAGTGTCATACGGGGATTCATTCTCATACACCAGGTCATTCTCAGATTCATAGTCATTCTCGGATTCATAGTCATTCTCGGATTCATAGTCATTTTCAGAGTCAAAGCCATTTTCGCATCCAAGCAATTCATTAGCTTCATCATCAGAACTCGATTCGCTTGATTCGCTTGCACACCCAATATAACCTGTACAGTACAATGTTTCAGTTAGCGTACACTTGATCCTACCATGTAATTGAGAACGCTTGAAAAATAATAGAAATATTACCAATTCTGCGAATATTGTGATACTTTTCTTTTTAAAACGTGTCATTATTTTCACGTCAAAACATTCAGGAATGCGACTACAAATATTTATAACGTGTTGAAATCGACATCATGAGAATGTCGCTCGACATTTGATTGGTTCATGAGAAATTATGTTGATAACAGCTAATAATAGTTTGAAATTTCCGGCAAAAAAGAATATAGTCGTATTTCCGCTGTGCTTTGACGTGAAAACATGACGTTAGCCGTTTTTCAAGGAAAAAGTTGCATTCGCGTTTTCAGTAATATCATAAAAAGCCGGCAGTCCAAAACAATCTAAAAAAGCCACAGGCCCACAGGCACAGCGGACAAATGGTGAAACAAACAAATGGTGAAACAAACACCTCAATTCTCGAATATTCATCTCGCCTTCAATAAATAACAAATTGGCTAAAAATATATGGAGGCCAGTTGGCTCGGAAAAGTCAGTCAACTCTTGCAAAAAGGCTAATCTTTCTCATGCATTACATGTAAACACAAATCATATGATAAATTTCGTCTTACCTAGTTTAATTTTACTTTTCTTGAGTTCATTTCGGCAACGTTGAAGTTTATATTTTGTGGTAGCCCACATGTTTTTATAATGTCGAGTCGACTTATCGACAAGGCAACATTGCACTTCAACGTCTTTGAGCTGTGTCTGTGAGCGATAAACAGAACATGTTTTAATTCAAATGTAATACACTTTGCTCAAATCAAACACTAACAAACACAAAACTAACCGAGGGTCCTTCCACAAGAAAATTTTCATCACAAAAGTCGTCTAGATGTTCATTTTCATCAAAAGAAACGGTGGGATGCTCTTCACCTTTCGACTTCTTTGTATGCGGTTGCTCTGAGTGACTGGCGAGGCTGGTTATGACATTTCTTTTTTGCTGTGAAAAAATACAACAAGTATTAAAAAGTCAACCGAGACTTAAAATCATACAAAGCTTTACAATAATATATGTACTACATTTTATACTCACCATTCTTTTATCGCGTGACGAAGGTTCTTTTTTCGTTTTGTGTTTCAGATGTGGAGTGGGATAAGCTAAAATTCCGATTTCATCCCTAAGTAGCCGCGGGCAATACTTTTTCAGTCCCTCAGGAGAAAAGTCAAATCTTCTCTGAAAAGAATCTTTAGTAAAATGCTCAGAACACACAGCCGAATTTACAGTGGGTTCCCACTTGTCGCGAGTTGTCATCACAAAATCAACCCATTTCTTCCTTCTCTTCTTCGCCTCAACTCTGTCATCGTTTAGAAAAGGAATCTGATGCACAGAAACATTATTTTCTAAACTTGCTCGATTTGAGCAGCCATATACAGCGCACCTGTCCGGCATGATAGTAGTGTTTTTTGGTAGTACATATATACGTATTTACTACAAACTTAGAACAAGATAAATCTTGTTTCTTAAATGACGTCACCGACTCATTTCCAGACTCCCCCATTACGTTCTCGGTTTTTTACCGAAATGGAACAACTTTTCCTAAATATAGCCGCAAAATATCTTCCAAACGAAAAGAGTAATTGAAAAACTATAAAATCATATATAAGCTAATTTTTTATGATCTATCGAAATATCAAATAAAAAATTAAGTCGTATAGACACTTTAAATCAAGATCTGACATGCATCACACATGAACATGCATTGATGCTAGTTGTCATAGTTCATATATTATGCAACAAGTGTTCAAAAAATCACATCTCCCCACTATATTTTGTGGTATCATTATTAACATTTAATACTATTCTGAACAATTTATAGTATATCATGTTAATTATCCAAAAATATTTTACACTAATTAAGCTAACCTTTTGCCTTGTAAACAAATGCCAGGGCATGCACCACTAGTTTGCTGCATGAATAGAAATTTCACGAATTTGCTCCATGTCAGAAAAAAAATGCCAACCAGCAATTTTAGAGCTTTCCCTTCATCCCTATAAACCTAGTTGAATCAATTCATAATTCTTTTACTATTTTTACTGTTTTCAAGTTAACTTAGAGTATTCAGTTTCCTTAGAATCCCTTGTACTGAAAAGAATTAATCAAATAAAAAATATTTGATAGTTTGGACATGTCAGAATTGTGGTACCATATCACCGCCTTCTGTTATTCCATAAGGCAAATTAAAATTGTAAGATAGGTAGATAGACAGACAGATATTTTATTGACTGAATTACATAGATTTTCACATTAATATAAAACTTTAAATGTTAGACATGTTAACAACGAGAAAGTCTCCTCAATTGTTACAGTATTGCACATGGATAGTACAAATGTGTTCCTAATTTATGTGTTAATCAAATATTAAAATCAAGCATGATCATGAGACTTAAATTATTCTAATGTATAAAACCGATTGCTATGAAATGCATCTAGTGAGTTGGGGGAGGGGGGACTGTAGAAGCAAAAAATGACATGCACAAAGACTTCATGCAGTCTATAGGGCTTGAAATTTTTGGTAACACGATACAGTATTTTTCTGTTGTTTACGAATCCTTCATATACATATACAAATTATATTAGTTAATTCATTAGATAAATTAAATTGCAACTGAAAACTCATTTTGCCCTGTTTTGAATATTATTATCCATATGTTGGATACTAGACTTCCGGGGTGTTTATCAGATTTTAAGTTTCTAGCATACCAGTACTTGCATGGGTAGTGATGAAAATTTCTAATTTCATGCTCTGCATTCAGAAGAAAATCTTCAAGTCAAAAACAATTCATACAGTAAATTCTGGAAATATTTTTCTTGAAGCTTAGTATGGTTGTTTATTATGCTTGTATTCTAAAAGCACACTCACAAGCAATGAGTGGAGGTTCAATCTGAGCTTCTCTTGAGTATCAATGCTGTTTTTGAATGACTGGAGAGTGAGTAGTCACACAGTAAGTTACGACACTAACCCACCAGCTATTCAAAAACAGCAATGAACTCGAGAGAAACTCAGATTGAACTTTTACTCATTGAGAATATAAAATGAATAGGAATGATACTAGTACATAATAACAATATTTATAGGTGAAGATTAAAGACTTAAAGTTATTTGATATTATATGTACAAACACATTACGAGGTCTTTATTTTACACCAGATTTAGTTCCGTAATTGAGTTCAGGTTTAAAACGTCGAATGACATGCGATTCTTTAAAAAGTGAAAAGGACCAATGTTCAGATCTGTCTATATAATGTACAGACTGGTAGTATACAAGTTGAGGTTGAGTTTCATTCTAAAACAGATATGATGTGTTGAAAATGTTCCCGTGTGATTTATTGTCCAACGAGTTTTCCTTGATTCTAGTGTAGAAAAGCAGCGATTCGTTTTACCTCTGTATCTGCTTTAAATCCAGAACAAGTAAATCCACATACCTGCACAGCTAGAGTTTTGATATTTAGTATAGGTGTTTTAATTTGTCTCAGCATGAAAGCTGGAACAAGTTGCTGTTAGTAGCTTTCCAATTAATGAACTTGCATTTTAACTATAGTGGGGTGTTAATTCTGCCTATATGAAGTTAGAGCGGGTATAAAGTCATGTTCTATATTTGCCAAGACACGGTAAAACTAGCCAAATTAGTTAGGGACGATGTTATAGTTGGATTAGTATCTGGATTATCTCAATGTGTATCAATTGCATGGTTGTTTATTTTGATGTCGTTAAAGACGGCGTGAATAAGATTAATTGATACACAAATTATAGATTACAATTATACAGATCTGATCATTGGTCCTTTTTGCTTTCAAAAGAATGACTTGCCATTCATGAATCTGTGGTCGATCAGCAACTGAACGCTGCAGCTAATTGGACTGACCCCTGCCCCAGAGGGTTTATAAGTGTATTTTTCGCAACTGCTCCTATATGATTAGGTATAAATGTGTTTTGAACTTGTGCTGGTAAATTGGTCTTCCTCAAAAAAAATCTATCTACATGCAGTTTGTACCATTATTTGTTTCCAAACGAGATGCAAAACCACTAATGATACGGCCTCAGCCCATTTAACAAAAAAGTCAGATAACAGCCTCAGTACCCTTCCAGGTCTCAAACTGGTCCACCTAAACATCCGCTCTCTGAAAAATAACGCCCATTTTTTAGAATTACGTAAGTTTACCAAATTTAACAAAATTTACGTCCTTACAGTATCAGAGACATGGTTAAATACCTCCGTCACAAACAAGGAAATAGAAATCGAAGGTTATAAGCTACATCGTTTAGACCGACTGCACAAGAAAGGGGGCGGGGTATGTGCTTACATACGAAAAGATATTAAATCTCTTGTACTTAAAGACCTCAGTTATATCTCCGAGACGAATTACCATCAATTATGGATCAAATTACAGCACAAAAAATCTAAATCACTGCTGGTCTGTGTCTCTTATCGACCCCCAGACAGCCCGCTTGACTGCTTCGAAAAATATTTTAAACCTAATTATGTTCATGCTCTGACGATGGGAAAGTTGATCATTCTTCTTGGAGACCTAAACTGCGATATGCTTAAGCCCACACCTGGATCAGCGTCTTTGATCAAGACGACAAAAGAACTCAACCTTAACCAGTTAATAAAATCACCAACAAGAATTACTGAATCCGTTATTTTCGTATCCTCGCCAAGACTAGTAGTCAACAGCGGCGTCATAGAAACCTGTATCAGCGATCATTTCCCTGTGTATGTATCACTAAAACTTAAAACCGACAAATCTCCACCAAACTATATCACTACACGCAGCTACAATAAATACGACCCTGATTTGTTCGCGATCGATCTGGCATCCAACCGTGATCGTCTTGTTTCCATTTTCAGAATGGACAATGTTGATGAAAAACTAACCATTTTTAATGAAATATTTTTAAATACATTGGATAAACACGCCCCAGTAAAGACCATAAAAGTACGCGGAAAATCTTGCCCATTTATCACCCCGGAAATAAAAGCATCCATGATCAAAAGAGACCAGCTCCACAGTCTTTTCAGGAAAACACGTGATCATTATGATTGGCTTAATTTCAGAGAGGCCCGCAATTTTACAAAAACCGCACTTGTTAATGCACAGAAAGAATATGTACTGAAGGAAGTTCAGCAACACAGAAACAATACTGGGTCACTTTGGAAGGTCATTAAAGAAAATATAACGTATAGGGAAAGAGAGTCGGTGGTCTACAGTAAGGAACCGAAATTAGTGGCCGAAGAGTTTAATCATTTCTTTTCCACCATTGGTGTGAATGCAGCAAAGAAAGCCTCAACACTAATACAAGATCCTAGTGTTTATCCAGCTCGGAATCTTTCTGACGTAAATCGCACAGATAACAGCTACCCTGAAGAAAATGATAGATTTAGTTTCACCCCAGTCTCTTGTTCAGAAATAAGGAACATCATATTAGCTATGCCGTCAAACAAATCACCCGGCAAAGACAAAGTGAGTATGCGTGTCATCAAACACAGCCTACCGGTAATTCTTGGGCCCCTCACCGATATCATTAACTGTTCACTGTCGTCATCTTCGTTCCCTATAGCATGGAAAGAGGCAGAAGTTATCCCTTTGTTAAAGGATGGAAACCACGAGGAAGCATCAAATAACCGCCCACTTTCTCTCCTTACCTTTCTTTCGAAAATTTGTGAAAAGTCGCCTTGAATCAATTTGGTTCGTATCTAATGAAGAACAAAAAATTGTCAACCCACCAGAGCGGGAACAAGAAACATCACTCATGCGAAACATTGAATCTTTTGACCGGAGATACTATCCTAAAGGCCATGGATGGGAAATTGGTTACTGCACTGATTCTAATAGATCTATCTAAAGCTTTCGACAGTGTAAATCATACTTTTCTCCTTACAAAACTTAGCAACGTCGGGGCTTCTCCAAGCGTTGTAAAATGGTTTGAGAGTTACTTGACCGGAAGAACTCAATCAGTCAGAATTGGATCAACTGTGTCTACTCCTCTCCCTGTTTCTTATGGTGTACCACAGGGTGCAATTTTATCACCTTTACTTTTTAGTATTTATACTAACGATCTGCCCTCATCAGTCCACCATAGTAAACTTGAATCGTACGTGGACGACTCCAAGATATTACTATCTTTCACTGTGGCTAACGTGGACTGTTTAAAGCAACAACTTGAGGAAGACTTGTATTTGATTGCAAACAGTTGTTCCGAAAATGAATTGCTTATTAACCCGGGAAAGACCAAATACATGCTGATTGGCACACGGCAAAACCTACAACAACTTCCCGTAGATATGACCATAAACTTCCTCAACGAGACTATTACCCCCGTCTCCTTTGCCAAAGATCTAGGAATGACAATCGACTCTTATTTGACATATGACCAGCACATCACCAACCTGGTTTCCTCATGTATGAATTCCCTGTGCCAAATAAACCGAGTCAAAAAATGTTTCGATAAAGAAGCTTTAACTCTCATCGTCTCGGCACTTGTAATGAACAAAATGTTCTATTGTTCAACGGTTTGGTCAAACACTTCGTCTACCAACATTAAGAAACTACAGTTGGTACAAAATTTTGCATGCAGGATAATAACAAATATTGGAAAGTTCGACCATATTTCGCCGGGTTTACGCGAACTTAACTGGCTCCCAGTAAAGGAACAATTACTACTAAGAGAGGCTATTATGATGTACAAATGTGTCAATGAACTTGCTCCACATTATTTGAGTGATTTATTCACAAAACGTTCTGACATTCATCAACGAGATACACGTAGCCATGACTCACTGCAAATACCATTGTACAAAACTTCTGCAGGTCAAAGGTCCTTTCATTATAGAGGCGTTACACTCTGGAATGATTTGGACATAAAGTGCAAAAAGTTAGACTCCCTAAAAACTTTCAAAAACGAACTGAAGCGAAGCATGCTAGAACAAATATATAAGTAGATAATTTTACCTTGTTAAACTTTATACAAATGTCTTACCTTTTTACCTTAATTTAAATTCTAGATTCTAAAACTTGTAAATAGAACAACATTTATTTTTTGTAAATCAGTGTTGAAAATCCCTATTTAGGGAACACAATAAAGTATGTATGTATGTATGTATGAATATAACAAAACAGAAATTTTTAAAATGGCGGCTACCCGTTTTTGTGGAAGTTTACTGACAAAGAAATAAGCGAAATTAAAATAAATTCAGTCTCAAAAAACACAAAAAGCTTGTGAAAAATACTAAAACAATTTTTCGTCTCAGGCTCGGTGATTATCGGGGAATATTCACTTCGACTTCGTCTTGGCGAATATTCCCCGTTAATCACCTCGCCTTCGGCGAATAATTGTTAAGTAGTATAAATTTTGCATATCAAATGAGCTTTCGCGCGTTCTGACTGGCTAGTTGACTAGTAAATCTGACGCATTATTTGCCACCTGACTAGTAAATAATGCTTTTCAAAAGAATGATTAGGCAAATTTGGTTTCAGAATCGACGAACTATTGAAAAAATCGTTCCCAGAAAACGAAAAAAGAACAAAATGTTGTATTTTAACTTGAATGGTAGGATGCCATTATTATTTTACTGTGCTAAACATGTTCACGGAGAATTTTAAAACTTATTTAAAACTCCGAAACATTCACTTCAAACAAATAGCAAAAACTATCCCGACTGTCGGGAAAACCTTGCAGTGATATTCTTTTAAAACCATTTTGTTTTGTATCCTATAGGAATCTCAATTTTTCAGATATTATTTCTTTTGATATGTCATGTTTTCGTTGTGCTGTGTGGTCTCCTCACGCCGTATTGTGTTTTCGAAACTTGTAATTAAAGTGAAAAGTGTATTTATATATTATTTCGAACTATTCGAGCAATTGTTTTACATTCCATTTTACCAATTTTCCCAGCCATTTCCTGAACAAATTGATGCTAAACAGAAACTATTTTTTTAGTTCTATAAGTCTGGTGAAAAAGTCATCCCACCATTGTGTTTATATTCTAAGTAGAAATCGAGAAAAACAACTTCATGCTAATAAAGCAATTAAGTCACATAATGTAATAAAGCCATTTTGAAAGCGTGCGTGTACAAGAAACACTGCAACACTAAAATAGTAACCGTTACTCGTAAGACCGGCCGAAAACAGTTTTATTTCTGAATTTTAATTAAACTGGTATTTAGATATTTTGTAAGTTTTATTCATTAAAAATTTATACTAAGACAATTATTCCCCTCAGGCTCAGTGATTACAGTGAATATTCACCTCGACTTCGTCTCGGTGAATATTCACTGGTAATCACTTCGCCTTCGGCGAATAATTGTTAATTAGGGACTGCTCATTATTTATTTTACAACATTTCGCAACCAAATTTGGCAATAATTTACTTATTTTAGTGTGCTCTTTCTAGCCGTGGTGATTTAATTGCCTCAAGGCCGGATTTTGAGAGCAGATGTGGAGAGGTGCACACCTCCCCTGAGATCGTTTTGCACTTCCCCTGAGAATTTTTTCACCTCTCCTGGAAGGTCATGCACCTCCCCTTGGGAAAGTTTCAATGATGGAACAAAGTAGAAATGTGATGTTTGCTTAGGATCTACACTTCGTGACGTATACGAAAGTTTTCTCTGTAAAATTGAAACAGTGATAGGCCATTCATCTCTGTGACAAGTACCCTTTTAATGCAATGTTTTGAAAGAAACTTTGTAGCAATTGTAATGAAGGGCAAGATTGGAGTCATATACATTCATAATTCATAAATACACTGGTACATATGTACACCACATGCATACCTCACCTCGTTGATATTGGCCTGTTCTACAATAAGCCCTAACTTTCCATGGGAGTTGTTAGCTAGACCGCTGCACCTCCCCTAAAACTTTTTCCAACCTCCCCCACTATTTTCACCAAAATCCGGCCTTGATTTGCATCTCTTAGCCTATAGTTCTAAAATTAGTCTATAATGGGGATTGTCTATTTACATGAACATAAGAGACTTTTTATTTGGCTTCCATTTATGAATATTGAAGGTCTACAAACATTGTTATTTGTTAAGTTGTTTTGTGATACATTTTTAAAACTACTAATGTTTTTTCAAACTGGTAAACATTTTCGAAGCCCTCCTTCTTTCGTCTCTCTGTATTTTTTCAAAGCCCCCCTTTCAGGTTTTAAAAATTTAAAGCCCCCTCCCAGTTTCTCCTCAATCGCCCCCCCCTGTGCAATAAATAATGAGTGGTCCCTTATTAAAAGAAAAAATAGACTGTCACAAGTGCGTGCTGAATTTCAAGAAATACAGCTTAAGTAGCAGGAGGCAAGCATTGAATAGAGTAACAATGCTATAAAATCTAGAGAAAACCCTCAAACCACAGCAGGGAACCAATTAAACAACAACTCGTCTTACACATATTTTAAAAATGAAAATTATGTTGGTGTAGGGTAGTCACCCACCCAAAGTATTATACCACCTCTAACCAACAGTAGCAGGTTCAAATTAACGACAAAGAACAGTGTCCTGGCGTACTTAATCAATGAAATCGATACTCGATGAGTATCAATGTCAATCAATACCTATCGATGGCTTGTTTTGCTGTGACTTTCAGCGATTGATTATCGTTTTTTTTCGATTTGTTTTGATGAAAAAATCCCGTGTTAATATATGCATGCAATCAAACAGGTAACGCCATAATTTCATTTATACGTACTTTAATGTCGTAACAAAATAAATTTGAACGGATTCAGCAACAATGGATTAAATTAACTTTTATCTGGCTATACAGATCAAATACATGTGTACCTTCGAAATTAAAAATGGGAGCAGATTTTCTATTTAGCTTGAACATGCCGACGCGCGACGACTATTTAGGATATAAAACGATAAAAATGGAAAGCATTTTGCTGATAAAAATCGGTAAATATCCACGAAAATCGAAGAATATCGATAATAATCGATAAAATTGGGCACAACTTTTTGTGACTATTGATTGGTCATCGATTGACCAATGTCAATCGATAACAATTAGGTAATTAAGATCGTCTACCATCGATTAATCGATTGGATTTCCGATGATCGTTTTTCATCAATTAAGTGCGCCGGGGACAGTATGCTAACTGAATCTGCTACTATACCGGGTGCCCCAAAAAAAAGTACTCCGGTTTGATTTATAATAACTTCTAAACAAGTAAAGCTATCAAACAGAAATGACTTGCATTAAATAGATGAAGGACTAACTTAGATTTTTATATATTACAAGTTGTATTTTACTTAAAAATTCACGGAGATATTAATGTTCAAAATCGGGAGCATATTTTGGGATGTGTCTAAATTAGCGAAAATCGGCATGTCAAATATTAACTCCAGCGTTTGTTTGCTTTATGACATTATGACATATCAGGCTAACTTTTATTTCATCGAATTGTCGTTAGAGTTTGTAAGGGATATGGTGTAGATTTAGACATCTTACATGTAAGTCTTAGCTCATTGTTTCCTGAAATATGAACGTTCGAAATTATGCAAGTATAGATCTTTACAATTTTGAAGGTACATGAAAGACCATGCAAGGCAGGCGCTTAAATTTTTCTTAAATAGCCTAATTTTTTTATGTTTTTCATGGGTTCAAAACAGAGTTGATTATTTCTCGGTTAGAGCAGGATGAATATTATTCTTTAATGAAGGAAATAATATTGCTTTTGCAAATACACATGACAGGATCAACGCTACTATTTTGTTACGTTTTGTTCCAAAAATGTTGGATGTCTCTGGGGAGTTGCTTGTTATGTCTTATGGAGTTGTATGGTTTGATTGTGTTTCATTCTCAGCTGATTCTGAACTTAACAAAATTAAGAAAAGGCAAAAGAGTTTGAGTGCTCTTAACAAGATTTCAGAACGTTGCAGAAGTTAGAAGAGCCTCACAATTCCATTGTGACAGCATGCCCTAATTCAGAACTACGAACGATCCATGACTATCCTTCGCGATGCAGTGGTCTCATGAAATAAGGAAACGTATTCGTGCTAGGAATACGCGGATTTCGGACGAATAAATCTTGCTTGTATTTTGTAGATAATAATATTTTGTTTCATAATAAACAATTTGTCAAGTGTCATTTATTTACTGGTAATAGTGCATGTTTCAGTCGAGCAAATCTTGATTAATATTTATACTTCGTGTTGTAGACTTTCACTTTTGCTAGGCCGCGACCGGATTCGCACGAAATTAACTTTGATATTCAGTGCAGCATATTTCTATAACCATTTCGCACATTCGCAAATTGCTACCTTGAAATCGAGTGTATTAGGGTGCACTAATGTCTACGACCATACCACCCGGAAAACACCGGTTCTCGTCTGATCACCGAAGTTAAGCCTGGTCGGGCGAAGTTAGTACTTGGATGGGTGACCGCCTGGGAATACTTCGTGTTGTAGACTTTCACTTTTGCTAGGCCGCGGCCGGATTCGCAGGAAATTAACTTTGATATTCAGCGCACCATATTTCTATAACCATTTCGCGCATTGGCAAATTGCTACCTTGAAATCGAGTGTATTAGGGTGCACTAATGTCTACGACCATACCACCCGGAAAACACCGGTTCTCGTCTGATCACCGAAGTTAAGCCTGGTCGGGCGAAGTTAGTACTTGGATGGGTGACCGCCTGGGAATACTTCGTGTTGTAGACTTTCACTTTTGCTAGGCCGCCACCGGATTCGCTGGAAATTAACTTTGATATTCAGCGCAGCATATTTCTATAACCATTTTGCGCATTGGCAAAATGCTACTTAGAAATCGAATTGATTAGGGTGTGACTAATGTCTACGACCATACCACCCGGAAAACACCGGTTCTCGTCTGATCACCGAAGTTAAGCCTGGTCGGGCGAAGTTAGTACTTGGATGGGTGACCGCCTGGGAATACTTCGTGTTGTAGACTTTCACTTTTGCTAGGCCGCCACCGGATTCGCTGGAAATTAACTTTGATATTCAGCGCAGCATATTTCTATAACCATTTCGCGCATTGGCAAAATGCTACTTAGAAATCGAATTGATTAGGGTGTGACTAATGTCTACGACCATACCACCCGGAAAACACCGGTTCTCGTCTGATCACCGAAGTTAAGCCTGGTCGGGCGAAGTTAGTACTTGGATGGGTGACCGCCTGGGAATACTTCGTGTTGTAGACTTTCACTTTTGCAAGGGCTCGGCCGGATTCGCAGGAAATTAACTTTGATATTCAGCGCACCATATTTCTATAACCATTTCGCACATTGGCAAATTGCTGCCTTGAAATCGAGTGTATTAGGCTGCACTAATGTCTACGACAATACCACCCGGAAAACACCGGTTCTCGTCTGATCACCGAAGTTAAGCCTGGTCGGGCGAAGTTAGTACTTGGAATTTGTGACCGCCTGGGAATACTTCGTGTTGTAGGCTTTCACTTTTGCTAGGCCGCGGCCGCATTCGCAGGAAATTAACTTTGATATTCAGCGCACCATATTTCTATAACCATTTCGCACATTGGCAAATTGCTACCTTGAAATCGAGTGTATTAGGCTGCACTAATTTCTACGACCATACCACCCGAAAAACACCGGTTCTCGTCTGATCACCGAAGTTAAGCCTGGTCGGGCGAAGTTAGTACTTGGATGGGTGACCGCCTGGGAATAATTCGTGTTGTAGACTTTCACTTTTGCTAGGCCGCGGCCGGATTCGCAGGAAATTAACTTTGATATTCAGCGCACCATATTTCTATAACCATTTCGCACATTGGCAAATTGCTACCTTGAAATCGAGTGTATTAGGCTGCACTAATGTCTACGACCATACCACCCGGAAAACACCGGTTCTCGTCTGATCACGGAAGTTAAGCCTGGTCGGGCGAAGTTAGTACTTGGATGGTGACCGCCTGGGAATACTTCGTGTTGTAGACTTTCACTTTTGATAGGTCGCGGCCGGATTCGCAGGAAATTAACTTTGATATTCAGCGCACCATATTTCTATAACCATTTCGCACATTGGCAAATTGCTACCTTGAAATCGAGTGTATTAGGGTGCACTAATGTCTACGACCACACCACCCGGAAAACACCGGTTCTCGTCTGATCACCGAAGTTAAGCCTGGTCGGGCGAAGTTAGTACTTGGATGGGTGACCGCCTGGGAATACTTCGTGTTGTAGACTTTCACTTTTGCTAGGCCGCGGCCGGATTCGCAGGAAAATAACTTTGATATTCAGCGCACCATATTTCTATAACCATTTCGCACATTGGCAAATTGCTACCTTGAAATCGAGTGTATTAGGGTGCACTAAT